GCTAGGGCAAGGGCCAAATAGAAATTACTGGTTTTGTTTTTGATTTTGTTCTGTTTTTCTGTTTTCTGAGAATAAAGGTTTTGTTATATCACTGAGGCTACTGTCTTGGCAGAGGGAAGGGGAGGCTGCAGTAGGGGTAAGTGGGGTGAAATGGTATGGAAGAGACCAGCTGGCCTCTCAGATCAGCTTGAGCAGAGGTCTGATGAAAGGAGAAAGGCACAGGCTGTAAGATAAAAGACGTTGCTCTCTCTCAGTCCCTCCCAGCCCTTCCTCCCCTCCCATCTGGCCTCTGTTCTAGAACCCACTAGAAAGCCCAGTGGAGTCTGACTTTCCACCATTCCCCCAAAACCCAGATTCTAAAGTACCAAATGCCCAACGTACCTTTCCTTCTGAGGCTTCCATGTTCAGCTGAGGGAGAATGGGAAGGTGGAGAGGATGCTGGAGACTATGGCCCCTTCTGGCTCTGGGTCTTCTTATTTTTGCTGTCTGGAAAGTCATAAGGCATATCCATACTGAGCAGGAATGGGTTTCTCTTCAAGCCATAGACCCAAGAGTGTAGAGGCCAAAGGGGTCTTTACCCCTCCCAACTTCTGGGACAGCCCCTGGGACAGAGAAGACCGAACGTGCAGAGATCCATGTCCAGATTCCCTGTCCTGGATCCTTGGTCATCGGTTTGTCCACTGTCCATTTGTCCCCTGGGCCTGGTCACGTGTACTTGGGCTTCCTCAGCAGACAATAGACTGCTGGGGTGAGGGGTGGTGAGGAGGAGCTGGAGCCTCCCTTTGGGCCTGAGGTCCCTCTGACCAACAATGGGGGGAGGGACCTCTTAAGGGGGAGACAGGACGTACAGCCCAGATAAGACTTCTGGGGAACAATAGAAGGAATTGAAGAAGGGAGACCCACCCTCACTGTACCCCACCCCTAGGACTTTGGGGTCAGGGACTGGGGACCAGAGGGTGATGGGGAGGGGTGCTGAGGATTCTTGTAAGTGGAGGAGGGGATGAGGTAAATAGCAGGATTCTGGAGCTCAGAACCTTTGTTCTCTCTTTAGGTGTACATGAGGTGGGTGGGTGGGAGACCTTTTTGTATTTAATATAACCACAAACGTGCTTTTGAGTGCCTACTTTGTGATTTGTACTTGAATGTAATACATGGTGTTTCCGGTTTTTTTGGCTTCTAAGAACTAAAATAAAATTTTCCTATCAGTTCAGTATTTCCCCTGAGGCTCTGAACTGGGGATTTAGGCCCAGGCTCTCCCTGCAGAGATGTGGGGTAGTGGTTCTCTGTCATCCTGTCTAATACATACAGCTGCTTCCCATCTCAGTTGTTTGTGAAACTGAAAAAGTCAGCCAGACATCCTTACACTTTCTTAGGGGCAACCTGTGTACCAAGAGAATTTGGGTCTGGGGAAAGGAGGGACTGGGGTCTGAACCTGCTAAACTTCCCAGCTCAGGCGGGGAATGCAGTGGCTCTAGAAATGAACCTAGAGGAGTCAGCTTCTGTCTTGGCCCAAAGTGTAGATTCTAAGAGAACTCAGTGAAGAGGTGGAGAGTGAAAAGACTTAGGAGTGGTAAATAGTGGGGGTGGGGAGTTGAGGGTGCGCTTGCCTGTTGGTCTATCTCTTTGGTCCCTAAAGCTTTCCACAGCCACCTCCGTAGCAGACTCCAGGGCGCGCTATCTGGCCAAGGACGCCTGAGGAAACGCCTAACACAGAGACGCCCCCTCCCCAAGCCGCAGCTCTTTCCTGCTTGTACAAGGTCCCCTGGAGAGGGCGCCCTCCAGGGCCGGATTGGGCCCTGCTTCAAGGAGGCGGGACTCGGGGCTAGCCGGCGGAGGGCTATTTAAGACTGGGTTGGAATTGGATGTGGCCAAGGGCAAAATGAGTGGGCTACTGGGCGCCAGGACCTGCTCGAGCCCAGGAGAGGCCTCCGACTGTAAGTCCCCACTGGGCGCCAAGCTCAGGGAACCTCTCACGGAGGCCCGGTTCGAGCAGCTCTTTGGGGGCGCAGAGCAGGAGCGGGAACCACTCGCGGGGTCCCGCTGGGCCGGGCTGTGCAGACTGTGGAAGCGGCTGGCTCGCGCCTGTTCGGGACCGGGGGCGTGGCGCTGGTTGCTGGCCCGGCTGCCTCCGCTGCGCTGGCTGCCCCACTACCGCTGGAGGGCCTGGCTACTTGGGGATGTGGTGGCTGGAGTGACCGTGGGCATTGTGCACGTGCCCCAGGGTGAGCGGCCCCAACACCACCCTGTTAGGGGCTCGAGCTCTAGAGGGTTTCCGGGAGACCCAGGGGGCTGGGAATCCGGGAGCGAGGTGGTGGGTGACTGCGGTTGAAGGTTGGGAGACAGCGACCAGAGACAAGCTCTGGGTAAGGACTGTGGAGCTCCATCAGATCCCCACCCCCAGCTGCCCTCATCTGCGCAATCCTGCGAGAAGTCTCGGACTCGTTCTGGCTCAAGGAACTGGAGAGAAGCACAACGCCTGCCCCCCAGGACTCCGCCGACACGGATCTGTGACTTTGTCCACCCAGAGACCTCCCACCAGGCCGTTAACCCCTCAGTTCCCTCGTGAGACAGGGTTTAGCGTCTCCTTGCCAGCCTCTAGGAGCGCAGGAAGGGGGCAGCGTCCCGAAGATGGGCACCCTCCATCCCTCTACCCCAACAGAAGATCTTTCCTTCCACCTCTCCCCAGGCATGGCTTTCGCCCTCTTGACCTCAGTGCCCCCAGTGTTCGGCCTCTACACGTCTTTCTTTCCCATACTCATCTACACCTTGTTGGGCACCGGAAGACACCTGTCCACAGGTGAGTGACCCAGTGACTTCTCCGTGGGGTGAAACGGACCGGGCTTTGAGGCTTCCACTCTCCTAAGCTCCCTAGCTCTTATTCCCCAACTCACCACCGTTCCCCTGCCATGACCCTCTGACCTAGGCAATGCTTCTTAGGGGTGCAAAGAATTAGGGACTTTTTTCTCCCCATGAAATTTGGTTAACATTTCTGGGCCTTGGAAGAGGGGAGAAGAGATGCGCAGTCACCCGAAGGAGCACGCAGTCCGCGGGGTGTCTGCAGGAGGGGCAGCGATGCAGTCTGGGGACAGTTTTTGCCTGCAGGTGCCCTCTCCTAACCTCCCTCACCACGTGTTCTCGGCTTCGGCACCGGCTCGGACCCGTGGTCTTCACCCGGGCAGCTGCCTTCTAGGGAGCGAGGTCTGACGGCCGCAGCCTGGGCCGAAAGCGCCCCAGGCGGCACAACTGGTAATTTCTGCGTCTGTTCTCCGACCCTAGGAACGTTCGCGGTGCTCAGCCTCATGACGGGCTCGGCCGTGGAGCGGCTGGTGCCCGAACCCCTCGGGGGGAACCTGAGCGGAATCGAGAGGGAACAATTGGACGCTCAGCGGGTTGGGGCAGCTGCGGCCTTGGCCTTTGGGAGCGGGGCGCTAATGGTGAGGGAGGCCTCTGGGGGACCCACGCGGGGGGCCCGGGGTAACTGGGCCACGGGAAAGGGTGGGACGAGTCTCCCGCGCCGGCCGAGGGCGGAGAGGTGCGAGGAGAAGCCGGCGCACTGCGCTCCAGCTGGCCCGCTCCTCCTCGGGCGGTGACTGGGCATCTTCCCCCTCGCAGCTGGGGATGTTCGCGCTGCAGCTGGGTGTCCTGTCCACCTTTCTGTCCGAGCCAGTGGTTAAAGCACTGACCAGCGGGGCCGCGCTGCACGTGCTCGTTTCCCAACTGCCGGGCCTTTTGGGGCTGCCCCTCCCGCGCCAGATCGGCTGCTTCGCTCTCTTCAAGGTGGGTCGGGGAGGGGGGACCGCGGTAAAGAGGCTTCCAGCGGTCCCGGGGGGAGGGCAACCGGAAAAGGAACGAAGGACGGGTGGAGAGAGAGTGTAACGGGGCGAGGGGGGCGAGGAAAGGTTAGAACCAAGAGGCTGAATGGGGGTCGCCGTGGGGGTGAGACGCCCTGATGGGAGCTGGGAGAGAGAGCCTTGCCTGGGTCTGGTGGATCTGCGCGGGGGCCAATCGCCTCTGGCTCCGGGCCCTCTGCTCCCCGCCCCTGCCCGCAGACGCTGGCCGCTGTGCTGACCGCGCTGCCCCGGAGCAATCCGGCCGAACTGACCATCTCCGCACTCAGCCTGGCGCTGCTCGTGCCGGTCAAGGAATTGAACGTGAGATTCCGAGACAGGCTACCTACCCCGATCCCAGGGGAAATCCTCATGGTGAGGACCGCTCTTGGGTACCCGCCCTCTGCACCTCCCAGGCCCTGCCCACCCCGCAGGAACTGGCCGCTGCCGCCCCCTAGTGGAATGCAGAGAGGTCACAGCCTAGGGGTCCTGCTTACACAAGTGCTTTCCTAGGCTTCTTCCTAGAACACTTTGACCCTCCGGGATCCCCACCCACACACTTCCACTCCTCTCTCGGAGTCCGCTCTACACCTCTTAGAACGCCTTCTTCCTCCTTACAGCGCTCCGGTGCGGTGTCGCTCGCCACAGCACCTCCACTCCAGTCTCTCTCCTTGCCTGATCATTCAGCTTATTTCCCTTCCCAAGCCCACCTACATTTCTCTTTCTCCCCAAGTAAATAAATGTTCCAAATCTCCAGATACCTTATATATCCCCAGACATAGCCAAACTTCCCTACTTAAAAATGGCTCAGTTTTGCCTCCAGATACCCACATCCCTCCCCCATGGCCTCCCCCCTTTCTCCTACCATCCATCTCTCTCTCCATAGCCCCAGGTAGGTATCATTCCTCGTTTCATCCCCACCCTCCTTCACTCTAAATTAGTTGTCAGGCACCCCTCCAAAACACATCCCAGCTCCCCCAGTTGCTAGGCTCCTGCAACCACCTAATCCTGCATTTTGATCTTCTCTCGTGTTGAGCCCTTCTAACCTCTGCCCGGGGCCCATTTCCTTCCATGCCCTAATATGCTCTCTTCCCCAGGTGCTCCTGGCCTCCGTGCTCTGCTTCACCTCTTCCCTGGACACAAGATACAATGTCCAGATAGTGGGGCTGCTGCCTGCAGGGTAAGAGAATGAAAGAACAACACCTTTCTCTTCTCACGCCTCTCGCACCCAATACCTCCTTTTGTCTTGCTCCACCCCTTTTCTTCTGTCTTCCCTAGAATCCTTGTTATACCCAATCCATCCTTACCATGGATCCCTCTCTCTCCAGATTTCCCCAGCCTCTCCTCCCTAACCTGGCTGAGCTACCTAGGATCCTGGACGACTCCCTGCCCATGGCGCTGGTTACTTTCGCTGTGTCCGCCTCCCTGGCCTCCATCTATGCAGACAAGTATAGCTACACTATTGACTCCAACCAGGTGTGACTCCGACTGAGGACTCCAACCTCATTCAGGAGACAACTCCCCAATGTTCCCCCCTGCCCATGCCTTTGCCTCTCTCTTCATCTCGCTGTACCTCCCCAGGAGCTCTTTGCGCATGGTGCCTCCAACCTCATCTCCTCACTCTTCTCTTGCTTTCCCAACTCGGCCACATTGGCCACCACCAGCCTACTAGTGGATGCTGGTGGGAACACCCAGGTAAGAGTGCACCCCTGAGTGAGGAGAAAGGGCAGGGGAACATCTGTGTGTGGGTGGTGATGGTGGAGAAACCGGTGACTGCTATGTGGAGGAGGCTGGGACTCTGAGGGAGGGGAGGGCATCGTCTAGGTAGGAGAGAAAGAAGGGAACCAAGTTCCATTAAGACCTTTACTATAAGCACTGAAAAAGTTTATGGCGCCCCCTATGTGGTTCAAAGTAAAAACAATACTAAACTGTAAAATAAATTTGAGAGACAAAATTCTGACTTTTTTCCATAAGGATATTTTCATTTGAAAAGAAATATCGCATATCAAAATTTCCCGATATTTTTATATTTTTGGTTTCTGTTACTTGGTTGGTGCCCTAAGCATGTGGTTAGCCTGTTTTTAGGGTAATCCCACAGTGGCTTTTAAGATGGAGGTGGGTTACAAAAATAGAGAAGTTGAACTTCATCTAGGGGAGACTAGTGAATGGGGCATTTAGTTGGGGGAAAGGGAAGGGCAGGTGTGAATGGCAGACTATCACACTGAGGAGTGAGGAATATCTGTGTGGAAGGGGGTTTGGGAGGAGAGAGACTTTCGAGGAAGATGCCAAGTGGGCAGGGAGACCACCTCTCACAGGAGGGTGGGTGAGGTTCCCTTTTTGCTTCCACTGATCCTTCCCTCTAGCTGGCAGGCCTCTTCTCCTGCATAGTTGTCCTGTCAGTGCTGCTGTGGCTGGGACCTTTCTTCTACTATCTGCCCAAGGTAAGGAGCAGAGGAAGTGTGGGTGTGCCTGGGAGGGGTGGCTATATTCCAGAATATTGGAGTGGTTAGTTCCTGTCCTCTGCCCCAAGGCTGTCCTGGCCTGCATCAACATCTCCAGCATGCGCCAGATGTTCTTCCAGATGCAGGAACTTCCACAACTATGGCGCATCAGCCGCATGGACTTTGTGAGAAATGGCAGCATTACCAGATTGCCCCCTCCCATTTTCCCAGCATCCCCAGCCTCTGTCCTGGATCAAAGCGAATTGTCCTGGTCCTAAATTCTGTAACCCACCCACCCCTAATATGCATACCTCTTAATACCTTTCCTCCAAAACAAGGTGAAGGGTGGGGTTTGAAGCCCTGCAGACCTGACCTTTTTTAACTCCCCAGGTGGTACAAGGTCTAGGGTCATTACTTTTGGTGTGTATCTGCTGTTGGGTTAATCCTGTCCCTTCCTCTGTCTTTCTACCTTCTCCTGGGCCATCCCTCCCCATCACTTGCCCTGGCAGTCACTGCCCCTGGACCCTTTTCCTTAGCAGTGATGGCCTGGCATTTCTTCTGGGCATTTCACTTCCATCTGTGTCCTGCAGGCTGTGTGGATGGTCACATGGGTGGCTGTAGTGACCCTGAGTGTGGACCTGGGCCTGGCCATAGGTGTGGTCTTCTCCATGATGACTGTGGTCTGCCGCACCCAGAGGTGGGAGTAGAGATGAGGGGAGTCCAGGTGAGGGGAGGGGAGAGAACAGAGTGCTTGGGCTGACTTTTCAGTCTTGCCAGGCTGAGAATCTGACCCCAGCTTCCTGCCTAGGGTGCAGTGTGTGGCACTTGGACTAGCTGAGGGAACAGAGCTCTACAGGCCACTCAAAGACAGCCACAAGGTGGGTAAGCTACAGCCAAAGCAGGAAGGGAAGATTAGACCTGGATATTTCTCTGACTGTCTGACCCCTTAGCTCCTCCAGGTCCCAGGGCTCTGCATCCTGAGCTATCCAACACCTCTCTACTTTGGGACCCGTGGACAGTTTCGCCGTAACCTAGAGTGGCATCTGGGGCTTGGAAGAAGCAAGGTGAGGGACTTGGTCAAAGGGAAGTGGGGCTTCTCTGCAAGTGGGAGGCAGGTGGGTTTCTAAGGGGGATCATTGTGCTCAAGGTGTGCATGTTCATTCTTGTGCCTCACAAGCGGTGACTACCCTTTCCTCCTCACAGGAGACTCCAAGGATAGATGGCCCATCTGATGCAGGTGAGACGGGATGACAAGGAGGAAGCTTTGGGCATAACCCATGGGAGCATCTGGGTACTCTTGCCTTCTCCCACCCTAGTTGCTGAGCCTGTCAGAGTGGTGATCCTAGACTGCAGTGGTGTCACCTTTGCAGATGCTGCTGGGGCCAGAGAAGTGGTACAGGTGAGGAAGAGGGTGGGTTGAGGAGAAACTCCCCTTATCATCTCATGCATACTCTCTGATGTAGGATTTAACCCACTGCCCCACCTCTGCAGCTGGCCAGCAGATGCCGAGACGCTGGGATCCACCTTCTCCTGGCTCAGTGTAATGGTGAGAGGTGTGGAGTATGGAGGGACCTGGAGACGGGAATGGCTGGACACTTGGGGCGGGAGGAGAGGACACATTGTGGACTTAGAACCTGAGAGCCTGACCCCCTCTCCACACAGCCTCAGTGCTGGGGACACTGACCCAGGCAGGACTCCTGGACAGAGTGACCCCAGAGCAGCTGTTTGTGAGTGTCCAGGATGCAGCTGCTCATGCCCTGGAGAGACTGGTGAGGGGGCAGTAGCAACAGGAGTGGAAGCCAGGGGGTACTGGGCTGTAGCAAGCGGGGTGCGAGGCAGACTAAAGATCCAGGCAGAGGGATTTGGGAAGGGGGCTGAGGGAGAAGAGGGAGGAAGGGGTGAATATGAAATGATTAGTTAATTTATCAAGACTAAGCCAGGGAGCTCTGGCCGGGTGTCTCCGCTGGTTGGAACGCCTTGCTGTACACCAAAAAAATTACAGGTTAGATTCCTGGTCAGGGCACATACTGAGGTTGCAGGTTCAGTCCCTGATCAGGGCACATATGGGAGGAAACCAATGGATATTTCGCTGTCACATTGATGCTTCTCTTTCTCTCAAATCAATAAACATATTCTGGGTGAGGATTTAAAATAAAGACTAAGCGAAGAGAATGGGCTCAGCTATGGATGAAGAACTGAGGAACTGAAGGTCCCAAAGGGGGTGGTGTGTCCCTCAGAGGACTGCCAAATCCTGGATAAGGAAGGGAGGGGTACTTAATCTATTCCTGACTTGTTCCTCCCCTTTTCCAGGAGCTCACTGGTCCAAAGACTTGCACAGTATGGGTCTGACCTGGTCACTTGGAGTATGGAAGGCCCAACAATATGTGTGTGAGGAGGGCCTTGGCTCCTGAGCCCCTTATTTAATGTAACTAATAAAATGAAGCTGAGAGCCTCTGGGATTCATAAAGTGAGTCTGGGTGTCTGCACACTGGCCCCTGGTGCCACCTTTCTCCATGCCCACAGTATTGCAGAGACACAACTAAAAATGGCTTTCACCTGTGTGTTCACTCGCCCTCACCCGGGCGGGTCACCAGTTCTCTCCATGGGGGTGGGGCTGCAGCCGATGCACAGTCCTGGATCCAGAGATGAGGGAGGGGATACAGCCCTGGGAATACACACTGGGGGCTTCCCCACCCACTCAGTCCCCAGGAGATGAGTGTTTCTACTTTAGGTTCTTAGAGTCCTTTGGGCTCTTTGGCACTTGGAAAGTGACTCCCCACCTCCATGAGAAGGGGTGGAGGGAGGACTTGGCACTGGCTGTGGGACAAGTTATGGCTCCATCATGCCCCTGGGCACTCACAAACAGAAGTGTCACCAGGACAAGCCCCTATTTGGGATCAGGTTCTGAAGGGGATTGGGGACAGTCAGTGAAGTGGTCACTGGGTAGTGGGGTTGCTAGAAATTCCTGGCAGGGACAAGGAAGCAGGCCCAGCCTGACAGCTGGAAGGCCCTGTGTGGCCATCACTCCGTTGTCATGCACTGCAGCCGGTGTTTGAAGAAGAGCAGGCGGTGTTTGGCCACCTGACTTTCGTCCAGTGATCCTGGGTAACGGTACCGGGCATAAGTCTCTGTCCCAGCGTCCCTTGATATCCAAGGCAGCTTCAACTTGGATGCGTGATCCACAACAACATCTGAGCAGGAGCCCACCCGAAGGGAACCAAGTCCATCCAGGAAGAATTCTGGGGAGGGAAGGGGAGTACACAATGAAGGGTCTTGAGGGTGCAAGAGGCCAACCCTTAGGGAGAACTGAGATTTGAGGAATGGAGGGTGCACATGCAAAGACTCCATCTCTAAGGACCAGGGGAAGTGGCTGGGAGTGGGGTAGAGGTGGCGGTGACTGTGGTAGGGAAGTCCAGCAGTTGCGCTGGGTGTGATGGTTTCGGTGGTGTGTAGGCCAGCAGGCGGGAGCTCTGTCTCTTGCCCCAGCAGGTCTTGGTAAATCTTCGCAGACTGCTCTAGGGGAACCAGGCGGCAGTCGCGGGCTCTGGGGGTGCGCGGGGAGGAGCCCGCGGCGCCCTCCGCGCCTGGCGGCACGGAACCTCGCCTAACTTGGGAACCCTGCCAGAAGGGGGCGCCACTCACCCAGGTGCGCCACGCGGCTGAGGCGCGGGTCGAAGCCGACCTCGCGCACTTTGTCGGTGCGTGCCAGGAAGAAGTTGACCACGCCGTCGGTGACCACGCAGCCTGGGAAGCCGAGGAGCTTGTGGTGGAAGCCACGCCTTTGCCGGAGGCAGTTCCCGCGGCCCGGCGCGCCGGGCTCCACGCTCAGCAGCTGCCGGTAGGTGGTGGCGAAGCCGGAGATCTCGCGCACCGCGCCCCCAACCTGCCAAGAGTGGGAGGGTAGCACCAGGAGGGGCGGCGGCTGGAAGGGGTAGGTCTGTGCTCCGTCTGCCCCGCGCTCCCCCTCCTCCCTGGGGGTTCCCCTACCCCATCCTTTTCTGCTCTGCCCCTTCAGGACGGAGATAGTACCCCGGGGTCCGCTTCCTCCTCCTCTCTTGTCCCAAGGGCTGGCTGCGCCCGGCTCGACTACCCAGCCGTAGTGTTAACCTCCTGGAGGCCTTTTTTCTCCCACCCCACATTCTACGGCCCCTCCCCTACCAGGTCCAAAGGCGTCCGTTCCAGCACGTCCACGAGCCTCTCCAGCCGCGTCCGGGCGGTGAAGATGAAGTCGTCATCCACCCACAGCACGTACTTGGTGGTTACTTGGGACACGGCCAGGTTCCGGCCTGCGAACCAGCCCTGGGGAAGGGTATGTGTGGTTGGTGAAGCTGTAGAGGTAGGGCGCACCCCTCTGCCACGGTTCCTTTTCACTCTTTATCCCTCTCAACAGCCTTTATCCCCCTCCAGACTTCGAGTTCTTATGGATTGGGGGATCTAGGTAAAAAAATATAGGTTCCCATTGTCAGAGGTTCTGAGTCCGTGCTCAGGGGAGTGTTGGAGTGCATTTAATTCCTGCGTGCATTCGTTCAGTTACTTATCACGCACCCAGTAGGTGATAACCATTCTAAGAATGCAAGGCGAATAAAATAGACACGATTCCTGCTTTTCACAGAGTTTACATTCCAGGAAGCCTCACGGTTAACAGGCACCCCGGTGATTTTGAGGCAGATAATCCGGGAATCACTACTCCGGAGCCTGCAGACTGAGCGCGCGCGCCCCCTCCCGGCGCCCTCGGGGGCGCTGTTCAGCCTGGATGGCTGCGCACCTTGCCAAAAGGCATGAGATAGTGCTCCACGTGGGGACCGCTAATGATCTCTGGCTTGTCGCTGTCGTCGGCGATGACCACAGTGACGGTCGGGTAGAAGCGGCGGATGCTGGCGATGAGTGCTCGAAGCCGATTGTAACGAAGGAAGGTCTTAGTGGCAATGGTGACCAGAGCGCTAATGTTGTACTGGGCTGGGGGTGAGTGGCAGGGTTAGGTGCAGACAAGGAGAGTGGATAATGTGGAGCAAAACGACATCTTCTTCCCGACAGCCCTCTCCCAACTGGCACCCCACCGGGGCTGCACCCAGGTCCCTGCGTGCATAAGCCTTACCTCCCTGTGGTAGAGACCCAGGTGGGTACAGCCGAGGGTTGGGGGGGTGTCTTATATGAATGGTGAAGGCTGCTTCATGTCCCTCGGTGGAAAACCGGACTGGAAAAAAAGGACATAAGATGTGGAACAGCATTCTCTTTTGAGTAAATAAATATTTAAGTGCTTATTCTATGTATCACCTTTCTAGGCCCTGATGGTCAAGAACACAATGTTCTTACCCCCATGGAACTTACATTCTAACCGATGGGAGAAAGACAAGAAAACATTTAATGAAAAGCTAACCTTTATTGAGCATTTACTGTGGGCCAGGCACTTTTTAAGTTACCTTAAATATACAGACTCATTTAATCCTCACAATAGTCTTATTAAGCAGATTCCTACTACAGAAAAAGAAGGCACAGAGAAATTAAATAATCTGTCACATTTAGACAACTATTAAGCAACAAAACTGGGATAGAAACCTAATCAGTCTGGTTTCAGGTTAAGTAAATAAGAAAAGTTCAGATACTGGTAAATATTGAATAGAAAATAAGACAAGTAATGTGATAGTGAAGAGGAGACATTTGAGCTGAGATCCAGATGACAAGAAGGAGCCAGCCATGCAAAAATCTGGGGAAAGAGCATTCCAGGCAGAGGGAATGGCAAGTGCAAAGGCCCAAAGTGGGAGCAGGTTTGGTGTAGCAGGTCTTGGAGAGAAGCAAGAGGGCTGTTAGGCCCCTTTTGCTTGAAGTGGGAGTTTTGGGAAATAAAGCCCTTTGCCCTGTAGTAAGTGGTGGGCTGGGAATAGAGCTTGAGTCTTCTGGCTCCTGGGGCAGGTCACTTCCTAGGGCCCCCATGGTTGGCCTGAAGAGGGGACACACCCAAGGCTCAAGTTTCCCTCTGGCCTGCTTGGCCCCAGATGAACAAAGGCCTCTTCTCTCCCTCCCTGGCTCTGCTGGCCTAACTGAAATACCCATTGTGTGGCTGGGCAGCTCTGGTCATTGCCCGAGTGTCTCCCACACCCTCTGCCATTTGCCCAATCCAGCCTTTCGGGGTTCCCTCTGATTACCCAGACTGCCCCCACTTCCGCCCAGCACCTCGCACCTTTGTCTGCTGTGTTTGCCTGGTAGCTTCGGCTGCTATATGTGACCAGTTGCAGCTGCCGATTGAGTTGGTCCAGTCCTGGGCTGGTGAGGGTGAGATTTGGCTGCCCCTCTCCTGTGAGAGTCACTCCAGTCACTTCCCCTGCCACATCCCATGTGCCCAAGGAAGCAGTCAGGTTCACCTGGGAGTGGGTATTGGACAATGCAGCCTTAGCCCCCAGACCTACCTCTTGCCTGCTTGATTCCTCCATCCCTCCTTTGTCAGCCCTGTTTCTCTCCCAGCATTGATGATGCCCACTTGGCCTCCCTGCCCTCCTGTTTCTTCTCACCTGGTATACCTCCTGACCAGAAGCAGCCTGCAGGCTCAGCCCTGGGAGGAAGGAGGGGGATGAGAGTCACAGACTGCTTTGATCACTTTCTCATTCCTCTTTCATCACAGACAACATAGGACTTCTTTCCCTTCCCTCTTGCTGAGGCAGCTGGGCACACTAGGGGAAGTAGCCTAGAACAACTGATTTTTAACTCCTGTCCGTCAAAACAGTAGCTCTTCTATGGCCTCCCCTACCTAATCCACCTAACCTTTGGTCAGTCTGCAAAAAATAGATTCTATTCTCCAAACCTCTCCAGTTACAGTCTTTTGCAATTCCTGGCAACCCAAGAGTCCCTTCTGTCCCCATCTCCCACCTCATGAACCCCCTTCTGACCTCAAGTCCCCCTTTCATCAGAAGTTCCCTTCCCTCCACTCCAATCTTCCCTCATTCTTCCCCATCCAAGCTCAGGCTTTGCCACTCCCATAGTGGTTTAGGTCATCCCCTAGGACCTTTCTCCTCACCTGGCACCAAGATGCTCCTGAGGGGCTGTACCTCCACACCCTGCACGGGGTACTGTAGGGGGCAGTTGGCTGGGGCAATGAGCAGCTGGTCAGCAGCAGATTGGCTCCTGGCAGTGGAGGAAGGGAAGCACAGAGGAGAAGTCAGGAGGAGAGGGGCTCTCTCTCCTGTCCCACCCACCACCAGGCCTCCTACTGCTCTCCACCTGCAGAATCATGCTTTCCTTTCTTGCTGGTACCTTAAAAGGAAGGCCTGGAACTCCTGTTCCCTCAAAGCAGAGGCAGCCTTCAGCTCCTCCAGGTCAAAGGCCTTGGTGAAGTCAATGGCTTGGACCTGCCTCTGGAAGGGGAGGTGAAGGCTCCCCACATTGGACTCACAACTGCAGTTGTTTCCAGACAGCAGCCTGGAGCAGGGAGGAAAGGTCATCAGTGCCCAGCAACACAGCTCCATTCATCCCACCAAACAGTTACACAACATCCCAGACCTTGGCCCTTCAACCCTGCCCATCCAATATCTATCCCTTCAAACATTGCTCAGTAGTCCCCAGGAAGAGGGACCACAAATAGGATAAACTATTCCCTAAACTGGGATTTCATAGAGGTGCAGAACAGGGCCAAATTTCTAGGATTTCAGGGTTTTCTACCCACCATTCAGGACCCCACTTGGACTCTCCTTTATGTGGACATGATCAGGACATCAAAAAGTGTTTCAGGGACATTCCCTGACTGCACACCCTCCCTTCCCCATCCCCATGACAAGGTTCAGGGAGGGCAGACTTTCCCTTGGCCCCAGACCAAGTAGCTTCCTCTCCCTCCTAATTTACCCCCTGACCAGACCAGCCGGGAAAACCCAGGCATCAGAGCTCAGCAGTGGAAGAAACAAAAGCACCCCCCCCCCTCCCGTGAGAGAGGCACTGTCGCCACTACTCCTGGCACTCACCCCACCACTTGCTCCTTGATCCTGACGGGGATGTGGGCATATCGGGGCTCAGGGGCGAGGTCTGGCAGCTCTGGCCTGGGGGGACCCTGCAGGGGCGCCCACAGCGCAAGAGGCACCCGGAGGTCCAGCGCGTCCCGGGTCCTTGCGTACAGGAGCCCCAGCGAGGCGCAGGCGAGCAGCAGAACCAGAACGCAGAGGGCCCTGCGGCCCAGCCGCATCCTGGGCGGGCGGGAGTAGGTGGGAGGGTGAGAAAGGTGAGGAAAAACACGTGGACAGACCCTTGCTACCCCCGCCCCCGCTTCCCGGGGCGCTCTCCCCTTTTTGCGCCAAGAGGTGTACAGAGAATCGTCCCCCTAACCACTCCCCTCGTCCCCCGGGCCTGTGTCTCGCAGCCGTCTTTCTTCTCGCCCTCTCCCGCATCTCGGTTTCCTCTCACACCCAAGGCCCAGCATCTTGATGAGAGGGACCTTTGGATGCGATGGTTTCCACGCGACCGCGCATAAGTAGAAGAGCCCCGCTTTATC